GCTTAAGTTAAATATATTTACTGAAAAAATTTTTTGAATGGTATCAGCCCTTTATGAAAAACGATGACCTTTATAAAGAAAAACAAGTGTCGAATATCCTGGGAACTAAGAACCACTTTGGTTTATGACCTCGGTTAAAAAGGGAGAAATGTTTTTGGGTATGTAGCACTATAACTATTGTTATTATAGAGTAATAAATTAGAGAAAAACTTCATTTACTTAAGTTGTTCTCTACAGGAGTGTATTGTTTGATCACGTTAAATGGACAATGGTAAGGAGTTACAAAACTTAACGTCAAGAACTGAAAATTATTTTAGCTAGAAAATAGACGAGTGCAAGGGATAAAGGAGGAAAGGGTATTCTCTGGATCGAAGGAAAAATTATGAGTGAAGCTGGGACTGAAATTGAAAATATGCTTCCAGAGAGGATGGACCTAATAAGACGCAGTAGAGAAAAAAGAAAGTAAGGCCCCCATAAGGCCCTACTGTTAAATTAGTAGACCATGGTTTAGTCCCATCTGAAACCAATGTTTGGACAACATATAAATGATTGATTGTCTGGTATGTTGGACTAGGACTACTGGTCGTATGAGGAAGCTCACTCAGCAAGTCATAGGGAGAAGAGGATAAAATCTGTAGCAAGTACGTGCGTAGAAGGACAAAAATAACTGACATAGCCCCGTTAGACTCAGTCAGCTCATCAGTAGACCGAATTAACCATGAGTTCAACGTATCAGTAGACCGAAGTAGACTGAAGCTCGAAGAACTCGAAGCACGGACAACCGATGGGAAAGAAAGCCATCATCAGAGCTCATTAATCACCAGAGTTCACTTTGTAAACTTAAATATTTCCCCCTACTTTTCATTTTATATTAGTCAGTAACGGTCCACTCCTGAATATGGGTCTCTTCCACATAAGGAAATATTTGCCATAATTGCACACTGGGCGGGCTAACCTCCTTCACCTTGCCGACCAAGGTACTTTATATCAAAATAACAAAAAAAAATAATTGTACGTCTTATTTCAAATTGACCAACTTATTAACATTTAAAAATAACTTACCAATGTCAATTGCTCCATAACAATTTTGAAACACAGTTACGAATAAACAAACTCCAAATACATTTGTTGTAAACATTGTACGTTTTATATTTATAAAGAGGTTTATAATAAAAACTTATAATATATATTACTGAGGAAAGAGGCGACTGTAGCGTAACAGCCTTTGATGCCAATTGTAAGAGACTACTCACGTTCAGACAGCAGGAGTGTGGGTCGTCAACAGATCCGAGATAACATAAACACAAGTCGCTTTCAATGTCACCCACTTGTTAAATTACAGAATAGTCGTGCCAATTATACTAAGATTTTTTCAATATAATAATTATTACCAACCTCAGCAGAGCATTACTTATGACTTTTAAACCGTGTATTTAAAAACAGGGTTATTTTAGACTAATTAATTATCCCAAAATTTAGTAAATCTGGAAAACAATCTTGAAAATTAAAAAATATCGAGTTTTATGCCATCGTTTCCTTATTGTTTTTCCTTACTTAGCTGGACTGGGCGGCCTGTTGTACGATGGAAGATATCCTATTAAAAAGACACGACTTGTAAGTCGTAAATGGTTGGAATATCAATTACAAATATCTAAATATTCTATAAGATCCAATTGCATCAGTTGTTTAGGATTCAGAAAGAATCCTGTCGATTATTTACAAAGAAAAATTTTTTTTCGTAGTGGAAGAGTACAATATAATACACTGTCGGTAACAATTATAAGGTTTAAAGATGCTGTGGGGTAAAAGGCGAGAAAAATTGAGTAAAGGTTTGCTGCTAATCCACGTCAGAGCGTTCGTCGTGGACATAGCGCTTTTTTATGGCAACAGTAGAAAGATTGGGCTTTGAAATTTTGATACAATTAGTCAATGACTTAGCCTTAGCTTCTAGCGATTATTATTTATTTCCAAAAATGAAAGAGACCTGGGAACAAAAATTGTAATTCACAATGAGGTCTAGTGCGCGAATTCCCATTTTGAGCAGACACGCCAATACTATATAATAATAATAATTTATTTATTTCTCACCACAAACGACATGTAAGATACATTAGTGTTACATCTCTATTTTAACAATATTTTGTCATTCATGGGAGACTGGTGTCCGTGTAGGTTCAAAAACCCGTATTACAGGTCACCAGGCCCACTTACTTGGCAACAAGTATAATATTATAAGGAGATTACTTATGTTATGGTTAGAAATAATAATATATAGAGAAAAAATAAAAAATATAAAATAAAAAATAAAAAAAACCACGTATTTTTGTAGCGTAAGTATGAGAGTTAGTGACTGTTAGCATGTGTGCGTGTATGTCTGTGAATATTTATGAGATAATTTGGAGTAATTGTTCTGTATCTGTGTATGAAAGAGTCTGAAGATATTCCACGAGTCTATTTTTACATGACCATCTGTTGACTTCATAAATAGATAATTTTTGGTGTAATTTATTATATAAATACGGACCCAAAAAAGTAAAGAATTTCCTAGCAAAAGATGTGAAGAAAGGCACTGACTGAGCTACCAGATGATTACGGCGGCAATGTTCCTTTTGAGTTATTTTTGAAATTGTATGTTGTCTTAAAACTATATGTAGCACAAATAGTTGTCGAACTGTAAGAACTTCGCTTATTCTATACAAATCTAAAGTTGGATATAAGTAGGGTTTAAAATGGATAACTTTTAAAAGTGATCTTTGCGCACGCTCTAGTTCAATAATATGTGTTTTGGCTGCACCACCCCAGACTTCAATTCCGTATGTCAATAAAGATTGACACAAAGCATAATAGGCCAATTTTAGGACTTCTCTATTAGCAACATGTCTTAATTTTTTAAATATAAAAATCAATTTACGCACTCTACCACATAGTGTTTTAATATGAGAACGGAATGTTAAGGTGTTGTCAAATACTATACCAAGATACTTGATACTATTAATCTCTTAAAACGAGGAACAATCTAAAGTGTTAGAATTAGCACAACAGTGAGCAATGATTTTATGCGCATCTCCAGGTAAGGATGAGGTACGGATTGCAAAAGGCATATATTTAGTTTTCTTACAACTTAGAGTTAGTAAGTTCTTCCTAAGCCAAGCACATACCATATTAAACCCAACCTGAGATTGCCGGAAGACATCCTCCCAGGTGCTTCCAGAAAAAAGGAAAGCTGTGTCATCAGCAAAATAATCTTGCCATTGTGAAGATTAAGGTTACAGAAATCATTAATAAAAATGAGGAATAGGGTCGGACCAAGTATACTGCCCTGAGGAACACCAAAAAAGACAGGAGAATCAGAGCTGATGACACTATTAGACAACTTGACACACTGACATCGGCCACTGAGATAGCTAGAAAATAATGTAAGTTGACAGCCTCGCACGCCAATATCCTCAAGCTTTTGGAGCAACAGTGGAATTGAAACGGTGTCAAAAGCTTTCTCTAGATCGAGAAAGATGGCTTTAACTCTTTCTACCCCAAACTAAGTTTTGCGTAATGTAGTTGGTAACCGAAAGTAAAGCATCTGATCTTGATTTTTTTGCACACATTTGATAATAAATTCTTTTGCTCATGGTAGTTCACTAGTCTAGAGTTTATAATTTTTTCAAAAACCTTAGAAATTGACGGCAGTATTGATATAGGACGATAATTATTAGGTAGACTTTGATCGTCATTTTTGTTAATTGGATGAACATCAGCTTTTTTCAGCACCCTTGGTAAAACACCTGCCGTCAAACACAAGTTGATAATAAATGTCAGAGGAGGCACTAGGATGTCTTTGTACTTTTTCAGAAGACCAGTGGAGATACCATCCCATCCAACAGCTTTATCTGATTTTAAAGCATAGATAATCCGTTCAACTTCTTCTTCGTCTGTATTTAAAAGAACGAAAGAGTTTCCTATTAAATTAGGACTTGAAACCGCAGAAGTAGCATGGGTTGAGATAGCTGTCGTTTGGTCATATTTTTCAGCAAGGATTTTGCCAGCATTGATAAAGAAGGAGTTAACTCTATCGGCCGATTCACATGGGAATGGACACAATTGTAATAATTCGTGGCCTGGTGTTGTTCTAGGGCTAGTATTGGTAACTTGGTTTATTGTCTCCCAAATACGTTTTGAGTCTTTTCCAGCCTCAGCAAATTTATTTCTTTCATAATCACGTTTAACGCTCTTGAGCAAAGAATTGCAATAATTTCTGTAGCGCTTATAGGTTACTTTGAGAACCACGTTATCGGATAATTTATTAAACTTTTTGTGTAAGTTGTCCCTATTTCTGAGACACTTTAGGAGTTCTGGAGTCATCTACGGCTTAAGAATTCTGCGCCTGCTTGATGGGATATATGTATGTTATAGTCGCGTAGGAGATGGAGTTACGTATAGCATTTATAAAATATTCCATCGCAGAATCGGGGTCATCTAAATTTAACAAGCTCTCAAAATCTACACTTAAGAGACTTTGACTCAACTTTTCTTCGTTTATCTTGTGAATACTCTTAGGTGGAATGTACTGTACTTTCTTTGAAAGAGAGAGTATCACGCAAAGTGATCAGTCAAAGTGGCTTCAACAGAAATAGTAAAAGCTGGGTAAGTGGTTTTGAGCAGAACATGGTCAAGACACGTACGATTGTGCGTAGATATTAAGTGGGAGGGAAGAAGACCATGTTCAGCAGTCAAATTTAGATATGCAGGAGAGTTAACATCAATATTAGTGGGAGATATATCTATTTTAATATCTCCCACCAAAATTACGTTTCGAAATGAGCTTAGATTACTATGTATAGTATCCAACGATTGAAAAAATGAGTCAGTTTGTTTACGCAAGGCATCAGGTCGATAAATTGCTAATACTGCGTGCGAAGTCAATTTTTTGTTCTTATTTCTCCTATTGTAATCCTTTAAATTAGCGATAAATCTTTGCTTGGTAATGTTACTGGTGAACTCGGCTACTATGATTTTATTACCGTTGTTTTTTGATTTATTCGAAAAATATCTCTGACATCTGAATGTTGTAAGGTCGATCCAAGCACTTCACCTGTCTTTACCAAAATATTTAGTAGGTCTTCTTTACTTTCGCGGTCCTTTTTAGGCACATTACGCAATTCTATGCGAGAAGAATGTGAAGATCTTTCAAGCCCTTCAATTTTTTCTTCCAACATTTCTATACGCTTACGATATGCTTTATTTTCATCTTGTAAACTTTGTACACTCGACAATAAAGTGTCATATTTTTCAGACATAAACGTAATAGATTCCCTGATATCATCATTTTGTTGTTTAATATTAGCGACATAATCTAAGATTTTTGATAATTTAGAGTCCTGTTCACTCTTGAGAGACATAAACATGTCAGTAAATTTATCCTGGATGGCGGAGAATTCATCTGACAAGTAATTGGAAAATTTTCTCTTTCGAACCGCTGTGTTGATGTAAGCTTCCCATTCTGATGATTTTAAATTTGGTTCCGAGTCACAGTGCTGTAATGAAGGACTACGTGACGTCGACGGATTTATCGGCGGCGACCGTTTTAGTGGCATCGCAACTGTTTAAGCGTACCAGGTAAGTACCACCAGGGAAGTATAAGTCTCGCCGCAGTGAGCAGCTAGTAAGCACAAAAGATGACTAAGCCAAGGCACTAGGAGCGCTGCACAATTAACACGTATCTCCTACAAGCGTAGAGGATTGGTTGATCTTCGTGACGCCTCTGGGGGCGGGCAGCAGTACAAAGATAGGCGGCGTTGGTGCAGCGTATGAGTCAGCACGGCAATCTACCGGCGCCGGATCGCATGCTCTTCTTAGTTATGCACTCTTATTTTTTTAACACAATTTTCGTAATAGAAACTTTAATTAAAATATTTATAATAAAAAAAATAGGGATTTAGTGTAACACGTCTGAACTACTCAGCGGTCCGGGTGGAAGGGCAATACTCATAGTTTTTTCGACAACATAAATATGTTTTTAATCAAGGTCCAAAGGGAATAAATTAAAAGAAGTAACACATTTTCGTATAATTTAATACAATAGTTCTTGACCTGCAATCCGTGACCATATTTACCTCCCCTCTCACACACTCTTGTTTTATTCATTCATTCATTCACTACTGACATCGCCCATAGACTGTTTCGTGGGACGAGGAAATATTTGCCATTATTGCCACGCTTGTCAGACGGGTTAAGCTAATCCTGATGGAAAAACATAAAATAAATAATAAAGACCTACACCTAACATTCATAGACCCAGAAAAAGCCTTTGATCGAGTTCCACGTAGTAGTAGTAGTATGGCAGGCACTTCTTGCTCAAAAGGTGCCAGAGTATTATATCGAACTTATAAAAGATATGTACTGCAAGGCCAACACGAGAGTCAAAAAGCCTAGCCAGCGTGAGCGAAGCTTTTGAAGTCAAAGTGGGTGTCCATCAAGGGTCTGCTCTTAGTCCCCTCCTATTCAGTCTGGACCTCACAAAGGATGTATCTGCCCCATTGCCATGGACTATTTTATACGCGGATGACATTGTCTTAGCTGCTGATACCGTTAGCCATCTGCAGGAAACTCTTAATACGTAGCCACACGCTCTTGAAAAGTACGGCCTGTGGGTGAGTAGGACTAAAACTGAGTATTTGAAATGACCTTTCAGCGGAAACATGGTATCTGAAACTATCTGTATTGGGACAAAACCTATTCCTACAGTAGATAAATTTAAATACTTGGGCTATTATGTTTACAACAGATGCGAAAGTTGACACAGACGTGGCCTATAGAATAAGTGCCGCTTGGCTGAAAGGGCGATCACTTACAGGGGTATTATGTGATTCACGTATTCCCATAAAAACTAAGGGCGAAGTTTATAAAATCGCAGTACGTCCCGCGCTATTGTATGGTTTTGAATGTTGGACAACAAAAAAGACGCATGAGCAAATGGTCCATACTAAAGATGAAGATGCTTAGGTGGGCAGGAGGTGTGACTCGGCTTGACTAAGTCCATAATAAACATATACGTGGCAGCTTTAAAGTCGCATTTATTACAGATAAAATCATTGAAAATCGCCTAAGATGGTACGGACATTAAAAGACGAAGCGAAGATCATGCGGTTCAAATAACTCTATGCTTGCCAGAAACAAAGAGAAGTAGAGGCCGCCCGCCAATTATCTGGTGGTCTAATATCGCAAGAGACCCAAGGAAAGCCCAGTTGCCGGATCTGACAACCCAAGACCTTTTGTCTTGGCACAGACAAGTGAGGAGACCCGACCCCAAATAACGGGATCAGGGATGGAAGAAGAAGAAGATTGTAAGTACCGATTAGTGTTGCCCAAATGCAAGAACAAGACGAGACTTAGCCAGTCTTGGTCTTGGTCTTGCGCCAATACACCTGGTCTTGTTATTGGTCTTGGTATTGCGCTCTCAGTCTAGTTCTTGGTCTTGGTCTTGCAGCAAGAGTCTCGCAAGTCTCGCAATTACCTATTAGCCTATTGTTATTTATTAAACGTTACCATAGATCTTAGAACAACTTAACAGAGTAGGCACATTTTGAGTTTGAATTAACATAGCCATAGAAAGACCAACCAAATTAATAAATGTCTAAACATTTAATGAGAAATTCGAAAAATCAACTAATACCGGGTGGGGTTTGAACCCGCGACCTAAGCGATCCGTGCCGATGCTCTAACCAACTGAGCTGTCTACCAAGTCTCACGGCCACGGGAGTTAGTCTGTTTCTTAGTAAACGTTTATATTTAAGAAGCTTACATGTGCTAAAACTTGGTCAAAACATATAAAAACAAATTAATGACATTAACTTGAGTGTATTATAAAGAACATTATCTGTCTAGAAAGTGATTGATAGACCCTTATATGAAATGGAATAAAAGAGTTATACAATTTACCATTTATTTAAATAAAAAAATAAAATACAATACAAATTAAATTACATAACAGTACACAGCAGCTGTGACATTACTGTTACTTTATATTAATTCTTTTGACCAAGAATTAGTACAAAGTAACCATCTGGCTGACTCATCACTTAATCTATTTCTATTTTTTCTAATTACTAATGATGCTTTAGAAAATAATCTCTCAGCAGGTACTGAAGTTGCAGGTATTCAAAGAAAATCACGGGCCATCTTCAATAAAGTCGGATATTCTGTCTCATGCGTCCTCCACCACTCAAAAATATCTTCTGAACTGGCGGCTCTGGGTTTAATTAGGTACTCCTCCAACTCGTCTATAACTAAGCCTTGATGAAAAGATCCAGATGACGTCGAGGGACATGCATACAATTTCTCAAAGTCTATTACGTCTTCATCTTCATCATATTCACATACTTTCTTTTCATTTCTTGGTGTTTCTAGAGATGTATTCACTGAGTGTAGACTTTTATATTCATTATAAAGTTCATTAAATTTGCGCAGGCTTTCTGTTTTAATTTGCTTCCCCCATAATGTCATGTCAAAAGTCTGAGTCTTATGCCTTGGGTTTAAAATTAAAGAGGTACAATAAATCCAGTTGCTCTTTTTATAATGTTTAAGCATTTTGTCTCGAGCTGCTTGAAAACCCAGAATGAGCCTTTCATCCACTTCGGATCGATTAGGTTTCTCATCTAATTGTTTTACCATGGATTCAATTTTATCGAGCAAGAGATTGAATGATACAATGACTAGCAGTAATGTAACATATTTTTCTCCACCAAGTTTCGTTGATAGAAGTTTAAAGTTTATTAGAAACTTATGTATTTTTTCGAGTATTTGCCATTCACTATCTGTGATTTGAAAATCATTCAATTCGGTGACAGAAGTGCACAATATGTTAATGCCAGTTCTCACTTTTAAACCAAATCCAATCATATCATGTATGGAATTCCATCTCGTTGGACAGTCGAGTATGGGGTTCAGATTTAATAGCACGCCAGCTGCTTCACAAGCAGACTGAAACTTCCTCTTCAATATCTCACTTCTTTTTATTTTACTGGAAATATTGCGTAATTTTGTTATAGCTGTACGTGAGTCAGCAATATTTGGCGCATATTCTTCATCTTCCTCAGTTTCGTCTTCATTATCTTCATACTGCTGTTCTTGTCCCTTATTGTCAGTTTCACTGTGTTATGCTAAGGTCTTTAATAAATCTTGTACACCAAGGTTCAAAATGTGAGCAAAGCACCGGAAATGTTGATTGTCCGAACCAAAGTGTGGCAGCGGTTTGTCCAATTCATACATAAATTTTGTATTTGCAGTTGCGTTGTCGACCGTGATACCCTGTATTTTATCAATTATGTCATATTCCAATAAACATTCGTGGAAAATCGTTGCAATATCTTCCCCAGTATGTCGACCGCGTGATGGTATAATATCAAGGTCTACAGATCGATACTTTCATTCGTTGTCTATATAATGAATAGTGATCCCGTAGTAACTACTACCAGCAATTGACGTCCATCCATCAATGTTAAATGACATTTTAGATGAAAATTGTTGTAGTCGTTTCTCTGTCGTTCTTCTTTTCTGTATCTGTCGTGATGTTGTCACTGCTATTTTCAGACTGAAATAAAACAGTAAATCATGTGTCTCGCCGATTATAAAAACAAATGAAGAGATCAGTTAAGAAAGAGAAACGGTTTTGAGAAAATCTATCCCTAATGGAGTGAAGTGGGAGTTGGAAATTTGTATGAAAGTCCTACGTTTTTGAAGTTAGAGCCACGAAAATCGGCATTAAAGTTATAAGTTTTCAATAATAAAATCCTGAATAAGCTGTTTTACGAAATCCTAACCCTAAGGGGGGTGAAATTGGGGTAAAATGGTTACACGCAAGTCCTATATTTTTAAAGTATAGATATGAAGATCGAAATTTACTTTATTAGTTTTAAATAATAAATACTTGCATAGTTAAGCTTTACCTATATAGCCTCTTTATACTTAGGTAAGACTTTTGCAGTGAGAAAATTTCAAAATCTCATAGGAAATCAGATATTGTACGCGGACGAAGTCGCAGGCGGCCGCTAGTTTCATAATATATGTGTTATGTAATTGTGTGATAAGTATATTTTATCTTACCTGTCCACTTTTTCCGGTGGTTATTAAAAAGCTTGTGATATCTCCACTTAATTTTGGTTTTTCGGGAAGAAATATTTGTGATTCCTTTTTGTGGAAAGATATTAGATGCTTCCTTAAGCCTGAAGTGTTTCTGTTTTTCATTTTTATTTCAACCTTTTGTTGGCATAATTTACACAAAGCAATTTGGGATGCACGAATTATGTCGAAAATCTCATCATATTTCCTTTTAGGTCTTTTAGATCTATAACTCCAACTCTCACTACTCCGACTAGAACTATATGTCTAAAATATATATATGTCTAAAAAAAGAAATATTTCGAGGAAACGTAAAGTCCGCCACTACACACAGGTTCAGCTGCTCCATTACCCTCTCAGAAATAACAGAAGGAACTTTGCCTAAGATGCAACGTTTGTAATCTAACCTATGTAACTCAATATATATTCAAAAAAGTTTTAAAATAAACTTTAGTTTATTTTTAGATACAAAGTCACA